TAATATTGTATTGAGATTGTATTGTACTTTGATAACAATAAAATTATTTTTACATTAAAAACATAGTTTTTCCCACCATAATGGACGCCATCTTGGAATTTGTCATGATGACGTCATCATTCCGATCAAAGTGACCAAAAACATACATTTATTTTCCCTACCCCCATCTTAAGTAGTTTAAAATAGGGTATTTTTGGCCAAAATTTCAAAGTGCTATAAAAAAAAAATTGCCCAAGCCCTAGGCATGGGGATTTTTTTCTGACACACTATAGGGTATGCTGATTCAGAAAAACCAAAAATTAATTTTCCTTTACTTTTTCCCGCTAAAGTTCATTTCAGTAGTTTTACAACCAGGCTATAGGCGCATTCACACTCAGTTCTCTCCACATTTAATTCACTTTCTCAGTACCGCAGAGGATCAGATTACGTACGGTATACTCTCTAAATGCAAATGAGTGAAAAAAGAGTGAAAGTGTGTCTACAGGGACCACTCCTCATGGAGTGAAATAGAAAGAGTGAAATAGAAAGAGTGAGATGTCACCCTGTTCAGAGTGAATTTTAGTAATTTTTCGCTATTTTAAGAATAATATTCACTCATTTAAGAGTGAATTTTGGAGTGGTCCTTGTAGTCACTCTTTTCGAGTGAAAATTCACTCTTTTACATTAAGAGAGTACCAACTATCTAATTTACTGCTTCCTTTTTATCATTTCTCTTTCTTAACGATATCTACACTCCATTTACAGTCAATCAATCGGAAATTTATATGGCACACCTATCATCGATAAGGAGATGGTCGCGGCGCCGCTGCTTCAAAATTACAATGTTAGTAATCCCAATGAAAAAAATGGGCATGAATTAATGGAAGTAAGAACTGAAATGAAAAGTGTTGAGTTAAGTTCACATTCTCTACTGGTCTACTTTTACTGTACTTTCACCTTATACTTCCATGCCTCTTCAACAAACCGTAGTTGTTTTAGTTTCTCTCACTGTATTTATTTTATTATTTTATTTTATTTTATCTCATCCACGCCCTAGAGTGACCAAACTCACCATTTACAGGGTTGAACAAAGAGAAAGTACACAATAAAAATACAAAACTATGCAAGACAACACAACCACAAAAGCTAAATTTTAGAAACATTAGACAAGACTTTATGGCGAAAACATGAAAACATGAAAAAGTCAAAAATATCAATTATAAAAACTGACTTTACACAAAGAGTTATATAACTTAGGTAGCCTGTTTGTAAAACCATTTTTTGTCACATTGACTCTCCCCCTGGATATAGAAAATCGTGTAGGATTGCGTAAATTACCGTATATATCGGAACAGAAATTGGAAAATAAACCTCAAAGTTCACATCCTTTGAATTCAGGCAAAAAAAAAAAAAAAAAAATCAAGTCAAAAAATTTGCGGCTATCAGATAATGGAACTAAAACCTCTTTACTAATAAAACCAAATTCACGAGATTAAATTCTACAAAACTTATTCTGAATACGTTGTAATCTTGAAGACTGATAACAAAAAATGGAATTAGATATAACACAACAAAATTCAAGGTTAGACCTAACTAAAGATTTGTATAAAATAATGTTTCATTGGCCCCTCCACATTCTTGTCATCTTCCCAATTTTACATAGCATTTTACACTATTTCTCCAACTTCTATAACAACATTTTATTGTATCCTCATTCCTTTGTTTTTAAATTTTATGAATGGTATGTTCACATTCTCTTTATAGTCCAGATTATTGAATGTTTCCATTTATTGACAACCGGTCCTATAGGTAGAGGCCGAATGTATTTCAGAAGTGTAAACTATTTTCCACAGGATTGGTTATGTGCGCTTTATTTTTGAAAAGATGGCTTGACGATTATTGGCTTCTTCATCTCAGCATGTGTTCCGCCATGCTATTCTTCTATGTTGGTGCCGCTGCTAAAACAACAGCAGTTGCATTTGTCGGTAAGAGGCAATGGTTGTCATGGGCTAAACTTTGATGCACACTGTCAAATAAACCGTGTGAATATCTTTTTACCATTTTAGATTTGGACCAAGTGCATCATGCAAATGATTAAACTGTCAAATTAATTTGCTGTAAAAATATCTAATACAGGGTACGATAAATTCATGTATTCGTACGAAACATGATTATTTTGAAAGCGCAAATAACTAAAACGATAAAGTGACATTAATCAATTTTTTGTAAGGTTGTGAAGAATTAGGAATACACATGCGCCAGCATTTACTTACTAGTCAATGTAGTGTTGAATAATATGTCAATACCATTTCATTTATGCTGTAGTTCAGTTGATCTTTTCTAGGAGTCGGACTTGGAATCTTCAAGACCTTATTTGGACCATCGTGCCGATCCTTAGTCTCCAAGAGTTCCTCTCCTCAGGAACAGGGTAAATATTGTTCTCTATTCGTTATTTACCATGCACCATTTTGAAGCTAAATAACATTTTAATGAAATGATGATCTTTATATTATTACAAGTGAGGGACTTACAATTCATAGGAATGAAGCGACTGTCTATTAGCTATATTGCCATGTAGTCGGTACTTAGCGTTATAAAGTATAAGTTCCCATTATACTGTACTACAACATTATGTTTGATTACACTTTCACTTTTCTGGACGAGCTCTGGACTTTTAAGTGCTCTTGCTTCCCAAGGCCCTCGGGTCCACCGGACGTTGCAGATGGATTAGTTTATGCAAATGCACTGACACGGAAATCTTAGTGCCTCAGAGGCTGTCACAAACCCTGTGAGGTTTCTTTTTACCTTGAGAAGTTGAGTTATTCTTTAGTGGTTAAAGAAATGCTGCTTCACAAAAGTTGAACCCAGGACACCATTATGGAAAATAAGTATGTTAACCAATTCATACAGTTCAACTTTTGACAGAAAATATCATTCTTTTCCAGGTGCTGTTTTTGGATTCTTAGGGATGGCAGATGCATTAGCAGGTATTGCCTCGCCTCTTATTCTTAACAACATATATTCAGTGACTGTCTACAGCACGCCTACGTTCGTGTTCTGGATGTGTGGCAGTTTCTGCCTGTTACCAATTATAGCAGTCAGGTAAAATTTTAAAATTTCCGAATTTGTTCAGCATTTTGATTGAATTTACTTACTGTATTTACTTTGATACTAATTTGATTACCGTATCTTTTATCGTTTCAGTTATCTGCAGCTTAATAACCATAACAAGAAACAGAAAATATTTATAGATGTGAATTCAGATATAACACCAGATAACCCCTCTATGATGAATTGAGGATTTCGTCAGGACCTGTCAAGACTAGAGACGAAGAACATACTTACCGTACCATATTTTCTAAACTAACACAGACATTTTCAGGTGGACCAGTATATTTGGTGTAATATATATTGTATCCATGTTCATATCTAAAGATGCGTTCTTCAATCAATTGAAGAATGTACAGAATTGACACAAGTTGGATGAACCCATAAAAAATAGAAAACATTACTGTAAACTAGACCAGACACTAATTTCCCAAGTTGACGCAAGGGAAACAGGGATAGGAATTTAACATGGGACAGAAAAATCCGAAAGGATTTTTATGGTCCAGCACACGTACAATTGATAATACCAATTTAGCCTAATGAACTAAACATATATGTCTATATCTCTATGATAAATCAACGTCTATTTAAGTTTGCCTAATGTTATTTAATGTGCATCCAAACGATAGCAATATATACTTGAGTTGTTTCACTACACTGTAAGTCGAGTAAATATTTTTGTTTTCAAAAATCTAGATTTGAAAAACAATAGTAGGGAAAATAGATCTCAATTGAAAATACAAAGGATACACATTATTGGTCCTTTATTTAGGATATCCTCGAGTTGGCTATTAATTTTTATGTTCGCCATAACAATTTTGCATGTTTTTACCCAAAAGTTGTATTTTGAACCAAGTCCGTCACTGGAATATTCATTTTTTTTTATCACACGAAAGCTATTAAAATTATCTATCAAATATATATATATATTATAAAATAAGTAAGCAGAACAGAAATAACATTCTTCACAATGTGACTACTTAGAAGCATATATTTTATTTAAAAAACCAAATTTTATGGAGCGCCTGCTCCCCTCTTCAGGGTTACAATTGAAATGACTCAAAACAGCACTTAAAGACTAATTAAACAGCATAGGCTTAAATGTATATGGCAAATAACAATCAATATAAACTATTACAGATCAGT